AATCTTTTAGCTCTCTATAATAAAGTGTAGGAATAAGGAAGGCTACCAAAAGCTTGGAAAGAGGCTGTAATAGTGCCTATAAGGAAATCTGGGAAGGATCCCTCGAAGCCCTCTAATTACAGGCCAATAGTCCTTACATCAAATTTATGGAAGATCACGGAAAGGATGGCCACTGAAAGGCTGACATATTTCACAGAAAAGAAAGGAATACTGTCACATTATCACAGTGTGTTTAGAAAAGGAAGGGGAACCTTGGATCCTATCATTTGCTTAGAGCATGAGATTAGAAAAGCACAAATCAGTAATGAATCAGTTATAGCAGTATTTTTCAGTGTTGAAAAAGCTTATGATATGATGTGGAAAGACAGACTTCTGATAAAGTTCAAGTTAATGTTGTTAGGAGGGAGAATATTCAATTGGATAAAGGATTTTATGGCATATAGAAATATCCAGGTAAGGATAAGAAAGGAAATATCGAGTCAGTGTTTGGTGGAAAATGGCACCCCGCAAGGGAATGTAATAAGCCCAATAATTTTTTTCAATCATGATTAATTATGTTTTCATTCAAATTCAACCAGACATAGAAAGATCTCTTTTTACTGATGATGGAGCATTGTGGAAAAGGGGTAGGTACATCATGCATATTAATGGAAAGGTGCAAGAAGGCATTGATAAAGTTGTTTAGTGGGCATATGATTGGGGATTTCAATTTTCAGTAGAGAAAACAAATATAGTTGTCTTCTCAAGAACGAGAGCTCTTCCTGATGTTAGCCTGCAGATGTATGAAAGGATATTGGAGAGGATGAATACTTTCAGATTCTTGGGATTTTTTTTTTTGATTCCAAGTTAAAATGGGCATATAACATAAATAAAATAGTTGAGAAATGTCAGAAGGTTTTAAATATATCATGAGGTGTTTAAGTAGGGTGGGATGGGGCACTAGCTTCTCATCATTAAAAACCATCTATGTGACAATGATCCTGTCAGTGTTTGATTATGGGAGTGTGGTTTATGGTTCAGCCTTAAAAAGTTTGCTAGACAGACTGAATAAAATCCAGACTCAAGCTCTGAGGCAGTGTTGTGGAACAGTAAGAACGAGCCCCATCCCAGCCCTGCAAGTTCTGGGGAAAGAGATGCCATTGGATGAAGAGGAAGCAGATATTGACCAACTACTGGGCTAGCCTCAAGGGACACCAAGAGCAACATCCCACAAAAGTGGTCTTGCAGGAGTGTTAGGAACAAGGCAGAGGGCAAAAGGTTAACTTCAGGTGGGTGGGCATCCAGTATGCAGAGGATATGGGGATAGAAAATTTCAACATGAGCCCAACAGTGGTAACCCCAGAAGCTGAACCACGGAAGCTTATTACACCACAGGTGGACTCGTACCTCCTGGACCTCAGGAAGACAGAGAAAGGGAAAATAAACTTGGTGTCAGCTTTCTTAACTCATGTTAACCAGCATTACCCTCAGTACCCTCAGTATGGGTCTAAAGATCCAGAGCAGCAAACAACAGGGGCTGCTTTCTCTGTTCCATGATCAAAGGTTCATGTGGTGAAGCGTACCTCAGATTATTTGGGAGTTCACACTGTAGAGTTGTGGGCAATGTTTTTGGCACTGAAGTGGATAGAAGAAAGCAAACCAGGAAATACAGTCTGACATCTTTTATTTCCAGCCGTCAAGAACCAGATTTTATAAGTACATACCAGAGTCATACAGCAAGGTATGCATTTCAAATATATGTGGGTACTGGCACATGTAGGTATAAAAAGGAATGAGGAGTTGGATAAATTGGCTAAACAAGCACTACAAAAGGATACCATAAATACACACATTTCAGTAAGTAAATCAGAGATTGAAACAATAATCTGGAATAAGTCAATGGAGGAATGGCTGGGGAGGTGGGACAATGAAACAAGGGGAAGGTTTTTATATAGCTCTATCAGCAACATAAAGTCAACAGACAGGAATATAGGAAGGACAAGGAGGGAGGAGGTAATATGCAACAGGCTTAAATTAGGGCATTACAATTTAAACAGTGCACTACACAAAATACAAAAACATCCAACTGGTTTATGTGAGCGTTGTCTGTTAGAGGAGTCAATAACACATGCAACCACAGAATGCACCAGGTACAGCCAAGAAAGACAGCATATGAAGGAGTTGAGAAAGACTGGAATACATGAAATCAAGGTTAAAACTTTGATGAGTCTGTCAAGTGGGCTGGGTTAAAGAGTGTTTTTTGAATTCATTAGACAAACAGGTTTATAAAATAGAATTTAATCTCTGCTCCACACTCCAGAGCAGAAGGTGGCGGTAATGCACCTAATAAACTGGTTGCCAACCGCCGTTAAAACACAAGAAGAAAAGAAGAAGCGAACGCAGAAGAAGAAGAACTAGAAGAAGAAGACGACGACGAAGGCGAAGAAGAAGATGTGCGCATGCTCCGTGCTGTCAATCTGACAAACTTGGGACGGTGAAGACGGTGAGTTGTGTATTTGACGTATCTGTTCCGGCAGTGTGTTTTCGTTTAAAGACTACTGCTTTACCTGAACCAGACTGCCGGCTGGGCCCGCTCACCTCCTCCTGTGTTGTTGTCGAGCGGCTAGGAAAGTTCCGCTAACTTCCTGGCTGGCTGCCCGGAGGCTCCAGCTGCTGTCGCATCGCTGCATGATGGAAACCAGAGGACCAGGCGTCTCTCTGGTCTCTCATGTCAGGTGTCAGTAAGAGCAAGTGAAATTAGACAACCTTTACAGGATCCTGAGCTAAGTTTAGCTAAGCCTCCATGTTTCTGCTCTTGTTCACATCAGCCAGTCAACTCATGCTGAGCTGGTAACTCGGATGTAGATGTGACAAACGACGGCTGACTCACACAAACATATTCAGGAACCAGTGAATCTTCGTTTTAGAGGTTTTTGCCCAAATCGCTGCACGTTTAATTGCATTTTAGTTCCCATTTCCTTTCTTCTGACTGCTTTGGCTCTAATTGTAGCAGCTCTGCAGGACTTAGCTGAAAGCGACGTTTCTTGGTGAATCACATCATGTCGTCGTTTGTTAAGGTTTGGTGACAGTTTCCACCCCTTGACAACAGGTCATGCTGACTTGCAGGTTTGTCCCTGTAAATCACTGTCCCAGTTAGTGTTCATCAGCATGCTGCAGCCTGTAGCTGATCAACTCAGTTACTCAATCCACAAACACAAGTCCTCCAGCTGGACGGAGGGATTCTGTGTGTAATCAGCAGCTCTTTTCTTTTCAGAAACATTTTAATGGTCAACATGACGACTTCGTGGAGTGACCGTCTGCAGAACTATGCTGATGTACCAGCCAACATGGATGGAGTGGCCATGAAGAAGTATCGACGTGAAGCTCACCACAGGTACATAAAGGATAGCAGAAAACAAAGCACCTCACAAGGTTTCAGCTTGGACAAGGCTTTCTGTTACTGACACAAAGGTTGTAGTTAGAGTGATCTTAAAGTCTTGCTATTTTTGATTGATGTGTTAAAGTTTTCAATTATTGTACATTTGCACCAAGTCAGAAATGCTGTGGATTAATGCTACAGAATAATGACGTGGCAAATTCACATGCAGTTAAGCAGTTTCTAAATGAGTACTGCAGCTGGAAGATACACTTATTGTAGATGTGTTTGCTAAATAGTCTTTTGAAAAATGCTTATAGTTTTGGAGAATAGAGGGTCAGAGTTTGTTAATGCATAAATGAGTCATGTGGCGTTGTGCTGGCTGGTCCGTGGAGATCACCCAGATACACAGTGACTACTGACTTGCACATCACTGCAACAGGGTGAAAAGATAAACCACTGGAGGTCAGCAACAGCTAAATGTTCTGCTTCTGTAAAGCTGATCTTGAAAGCCATTCGTATCTTTCATGAAAAAGCAATGTAGTGTTTTGTAATAATATGATTATAATAATAATAACAATAATTGTAATAATGCTTTACATTTCAGCGCAGTTACAGTTTAGCATAATGTTTGTTGAGTGGTGCTGTCTTTGTTATGTTTCATCCTGTCATGTTTGCCGTTTCAAATTCATTAAAAGTACCCATCCAGATTCAGCCCACTATGAGACAGAGGAAGGGATTAATTCAGTTTAAAGGTGCTGGTTGTTTTTTAGACCTGACCAGCTGGCATTATTTCATTTGATCTTTAGTGGTAAGGCGAACAATAATGCATGGATTTTCTTAATGTCTTAACTACACAATGCACAATTTTTGTTGCTGCGTTTAGAAGAGATAAAAACCGATACGGAAAAGCATGCAGTGTAACTGTGACTGCTAACTGAAGTTATTACAGAACAACTTGTAATGTAACCTGCACAACCACCAGTAAAGAAAACAGTTTGATGCTTTTTGGTTTGTATGATCTTCATGGCTTTATGTGACAATGTAGCTGTGAGGAGTTCTGTTTTTCGACTGTCACTGCGGTCACTTGTGTTCTGACACCAGCAGGATGTGACCAGAAGCAGAACTGGAAGTTAGCGTCTGACTGAAACCTGTAAAGCAGGAAAGCTGCAACTGTTTTCACAGTTGGTAGCAGACTTTCTGTCCGATAATTGTAAATAAATAGTTTAAATTAATCGCACAGATTCAGATTTCCTTGTGAAAACATATTAGTGACTGAATTGTTCTGCTGCTGATTATTATTACACTCACTGGCTTTTAAGCTCTGGGCCGTTATTTCAAACTGTTGCATACAGTTAACAGAGGGTGAAACTTGAATGTGCCTCAGTACCGTTGTAATGCTATGGAGGATACCAGAATGTCTCAGGTGGCAGATTTGCTTATTTTTGGCATATACCTGTTGTGTCTTTTGTGCATACATAAACTCTTAGTTTACGCTGTAGACATGATTTTATAAATGAGGTCCTGGGTTTTATCAGAAAGGGCTCCTTTGATTACATTGCTTCAATTTCCTTGGCATTCTGACTTATTCTTTTATCACATAGTTTCTGATTTAAATCAGAAGTTGCAAGGTAAGATAAATGAAGGTGGGTTAGGTCAATGATATTGTCTAAAATATTTTGATTAGAATTTTCTTTTTTGTTTGTTTTCCTGAACTTTCCTGGAGTCAGATTTCTCACCGGGTACTGACTTGCTATACAATATGGACAATCTGCTGTGAAAGACAGCATGACTATGTAAGATGAGTGATAAGACCAGCAGCCATGAGTTCAGTGGTAATACTACGTGTATTTTCTATTACAAAGCTTTCCAAGGGATCTGGCTCAAAACCATCCTGCAATGAGGTATGCCAACATTTTGTTGTTGAAACAAACTGTGACTACTGACTAAATGACTCTTCCATGACATAACGTGATTCTTCATCAAACTCTCATGGATCCATACTGACACCGATTGTGAGCTAAGTTACTCCCTGTAAAGACAGCAGCTGGTCATTGTGGTTTCTTGGTGTTGCATTTTCCTTCTTCCTGCATCTTTCCTTTTAATCCTCATCTGTTTTTGTAAATCTGATGTGATTTTTCCTTCTGAGTAGAGACACAAATCCAGTGTGCAGTCTGAGCAGAGTCCCAGATTATATGTTTGCATTGTATAATCTGTATGTCTGCCTATAAGCAGTATGCCAAGAGGAGCAAGAAGCTACCACCGTACAACATCTGTGTCAGCCTGTTTGTTCTGAGTTACTCTCATAGTCAGACATTTGCAGGTGATAACAGCCACTGTTGGCAGCAGTTCTATGAAAACAAATGTTACATGTTTTGAGAACTGGACTTTGGCACAAAGTCTCACACCATCAATTACACAACTGAAATGATTATCTGACAGAAAACTAACATCAGTCATTGCCATAACTGATCAGTTGTCTGAGTCATTTATCATGCAACAGTGCCAGACATTCTCGGATTCCAGCGTCTTCACTGTAAACATTTTCTGTTTTTCTCTCATTTGTCACTGTGAATTGAAAATCTTTGGATGTTGGACTTTTGGCCAGACAGCAAATGACCAAATGATTAATCAAGTAAATTCTATAATGATTAGTTGATCATTAAATTGTAATTTTCTGTAGTTAAGTGTCAAAATCTGCAATTCTATTCTTGTTCATATTTTTAGTTTTGTTAATTCAGTATATTCTGTATTCCTAAATTCAGTAATCAGTAATCTGTTCTGTATATCACGTCTTGTTGTGGTGCCAGTATATGAAAATCAGTTCAGGTACTTGTCTAAAACCATAGACACAGCCTTGAAGAATGTCATCACTGGTGACAGTAATTTTTTTTTTTTTCAGATTTTTCAGTGCTAACTTAGATTTCTGTAACACGTATTTAAATATTAGATCTTAAAATCTCTGAAAGTCATATGTGCTGTACATTTGGAGGGAAACAACAGGCTCTGCAGAGCTGAGGGGTTTTTACAGCAGATGCACAGAGCCCTGTTTAAATAACCAGAAGGGATTGCATGTCTCTTGGTGTTGTGGTTGTTAAGTTTTTTTGGAGTGACTCAAACAAAGCTTGCATCAAAACCTGACTTCCTGTTGTTCTTGAGTTTTACTCCAGTAGCTCAAACTCTGAGCCCAAAATTTATTGAGAAACTGAGTGAAAATGTGTGACAGACTGATTTGTCCACTCTTCACTATGAAGTAAATGTGTGTTGTAGGAAATCTAGGTTTTCTAGCTTTAACTTTAATCTTCTATTTGTCATGCATTGATTGACATTACTTTCCTTGCCTTCCAGAGTGTTTGTTAACCGAAGCTTGGCCATGGAGAAGATCAAGTGTTTTGGTTTTGATATGGATTACACTCTCGCAGGTAAGTGTGTTCAGTTTAAGCCTTTAGTTGTCAGCCACGATAAACTCATAATGATGACACTGTAGGGGCTTGAACCTGGACTCTGAATGTCCTGACACTGATTCCCTCACTCATTTCGATACAGGTTGGTTTGTTGAAGAAATGGCAGTTGGTGAAATAGGAAAAATCTATATGTTACACATTTGGAGTCATAATTGATTCTTTTTTGCCACACACTGCAAGTCTTTACATAAAAGTAGCTAGTAAATAAGACCAGTAAAAACATCAAAAATGAAACAGCAAATTTACACAGAAAAACACAGTCGTACTACATCATATCCTGTTGATGCTTTGCCCGTCATTTATTTTAACTACTCAAAAAATAAATAAAATAAAAAATAAGAGGCTTTGTCTTATTTTGTCTCATTGACAGACAATATTTCTTATAATGCAATTGCAAATGTCTTCTTTTTTTTCATCTTATTTACATTGGGCTGTGCGTGGGAAGGGAAAAACTCCCCTTTTAACAAGAAGAAACCCAAATACAGAAGCAGACTCTGGGTTGGTAGCCATCTGCCTCAACTGGTTGGGAAGAGAGGAGAGCAGTGAGGGAAAAAAAATGAGCATTTAAGGAACGTTAAACTATGAACACGGACCAGGTTGGCAAGGGCAGTAGCCAGAGATAAGAAATCCAAGCATTGTCTTAACATAGCTACCTAAGCTTAGCTACCTAAGAAAATGTTGTATGTAGAAGATGCTACGATATGGTGCTCTCTGTATGTCATTGTTGCATTGTTTTTTTTTGTATACTGCCTTCATTAGAGTGAGTTATGTGTTGTTAACATAATCTCTCTTCCTGTCTGTCCAGTATATAAATCTCCTGAGTATGAGTCACTGGGCTTTGACCTGACTGTGGAGCGCCTGGTATCGATTGGATATCCACAAGAGTTGCTCAACTTTGTCTATGACCCTTCATTTCCCACCAGGTGGGTTTACAAAGCCTTGTTTTTTGACATCAGTTTGAATACTGACTTAATATTTGAATACCAGTCTAACAAATTGTCACTCTCAAGTGTGCTTCAAAGTGTTCCTGTCTTCACCCACCTGTTTGCATTCTTCTTAGAGGTCTGGTGTTTGATACCATGTATGGCAACCTGCTCAAAGTGGATGCCTACGGGAACATCCTCGTGTGTGTGCACGGCTTCAACTTCTTGAGAGGGTGAGGTCCACTGCTCCCTCTGGGTGGTCAAGAAGGCAGTTATCCACGTGGTTAGATCCTTCCATTATCTCAGATTATTCACTCATCTCAGAAACCTGACTGAACAGTGAACATCAGCAGAGACCATGTAATGTCAGTGAAATTCACTGACATGTATCAGAGACAGTAATAACCACTGGTGCTGAAGTGAGCAGTTACCTAATTGAACTAATCTAAAATTGGACTGACAGCATCATCACTGAATTCCTCATAAGGTAACAACGTTCACAACTTTGGTGCCTACTACTTCAGCCACATCAGATTGGAAGAGCAACTCATCATTGCATTCTTTCACAAACCCACACTGCACAACTGCACTTGCAACTGATGTGTTTTTCAAGGATTCAAGGCCTTTATTGGTCACAAACAAAGTCATTTTTGTAAAAGTTAGGGCTTTTATCTATAAACTGTACTATGTGGGAACTAAAGAGTTGAACGTGGGTGAATGATCATAGTTTTTCTCTACAGCAGTGTTTCTTAGGAAGCTAGATCTTGGAATGTCCACTAGCAACCGACTTTCTGTAATAAAGTAATGAGAGATGGGAGATGAGCAAGTATGTAATCAGTGCTTAACAGTCTATCTGTAGGAAATTCTGTGCCAATCTGTCCACGACATATGAAGATACATTTTTAAAATGTTGGAGTGTGAATGTCCAAGTGAAAAGATGTTTAGGTGTCTGGTTTATACACAACAATCAGATGTTATATGTGAACGTCTGGCGTATAGTCTAGTCAGAGGTTTAAACAGGCCAAACAGCTTGAATTTACACTTGGTAAAAGAGTTCTAAAAAACGCTTTCCAACTGTTGAACAGCGTACCATGTGTTATAATAGCACATGCACAAAACACACATGCGAGTATCAAGCATGGGCTGACAAGATAAACTCTAATTACCACTGCAAACAGAGCTCATAATGCATTGTAATGCAAAAAAAAAAAATGCTCTGTGGAAAATGAAAGTCTTGTTTCCTGTTTTGACCTTCCTCATGACTTACCACCATCTCTACGCAGACCTGACATCCGAGAGATGTACCCCAACAAATTTATTCAACGTGGAGACACAGACCGCTTCTACATCCTCAATACACTTTTCAACCTGCCTGGTAATGAAACGAATCAACACAACTCCTATACACGATTCAATATCTTACAGTTAAAACTGAGGCTGGTGTCTTTAAGATGATGTAAGAATTAAACGTATCACGGGGGTCGTGCGTTGCTAAACTTAATTGTGGGAGCAGTGCCACCTCCTTCAGCATTCAGTTTACACAGACAAGCTCCAAACCACTTTTAGCCTCTTTTGGAAAAAAGAAAAAATACACAATAGTTCAATTATTAAAGCTTGTGTTTCCTGAAACAAAAAGAGTAAAAGGAGAATTTAAATTTTAGCTTCAAGATGTAGAAAATAGGCAAAAAATGATGTTCTGCTATTTATTAAAATAAATAAAGGAAGTAATAGTGTGCAGGTTCACAGACAAGGCTGTGGATATGGTTCAACTGACTTCTTTACATTATTATTTTGTAGCACTAAATGCATGTTGATATTTCAGTCTATAATCAGATTCACTGTCCTTTTCCTTAGAAACCTACCTCTTTGCTTGCCTGGTGGATTTCTTCAGTAACTGCTCCAGATACTCAAGGTACTACATATTCCCTTTTAAATAAACAATGCTGTCTATTTTAAGGAAATGAAACTGGTTGGAATTTTATGTGACTTTCTGAGTAAGAGTTTGTTTAATGCTTTAGTAATGTACAGAATTTCAATGTAATTTCCATACCTGGTCTAATAATCTCTCAGAAGCTGTTTTGGCAAGAACATATGGGAAACACTGAATTTGTCATTTTGATGCAAACTGTAATGTTAACAGGATTTTACTTGTCCCTGTAGCTGTGAAACTGGCTTCAAAGATGGTGACCTTTTCATGTCCTACAAGAGCATGTTCCAGGACGTCCGAGATGCTGTAGACTGGGTTCATTTCAAGGTAGAATCCTTTCCCTTCCGTCATTTAATATCCTTCCAGTCAGTTGTAGCCCATCTTCTTCAGGTAATGCTCAGTTCCTTCACAGTCCTAAGGTGTCCATTATTTTCTGTTGGCAGGGGTCCTTGAAAGAAAAGACAGTTGAAAACCTGGAAAAGTACGTGGTAAAAGATGTAAGTTCAGAAACGTGATAAGGTCTGTTTATATGTCAGCAGCTTAGATTTGAACTTCATACCTAGGTGACAAACGTTATGTGTTTCAGTTTTTCCCGCGTTGATCTTTGTTGTTTCTTTTTCTCCACCAAGCCGAAGCTTCCTCTGCTTCTCAGTCGCATGAATGAAGTAGCCAGAGTGTTTCTGGCCACCAACAGTGATTACAAATACACAGAGGTAAGCTGAAAGGTAACAGTCAACATGTTAATGTATGCTTAAAGAATTTTTTTTTAAAAAGGAAAAAAAGGAATGAAACTGACATTTTCTCATTTATCCACGCCCAATAACCCATGACACGTTAAAGCCACTTTAGGAATTGTTGCAAGTTTCCTAAATGGGTCATTCCATCTCAAAACATTAGGCGCCTTCTGTTTGACCATGTTGGAGTTGATTTATTTATTTTTTAATCATAAACTATTGATCAAATCACTGATAAAATGGTATCTGTGATTTTTTTTGATTAACATGTCAAGTACATTATGCGATCAAATTAGTATCTTCCTATCTCGCTATCCATACACCAAGCTCCGCTGGACTTTCTAATGCTGATGACATTTTCCTAAGAGAATTTATTGGTCAGTAGGTTAGTCAGTTTCATATGCGCTGATCTCTTATCTGGGACATAAGCAGCTGTGGAGCAGGTTAGCCATTTAGCATAAATTACCATGGAGATGTACAGCAATAACAACCAAACCACTGGAGTAACAAAAATTCAGAGTAAAACCTGAAGCTACCTTGATAACCTCAAACTGTGTTTCACAATACTAGTCCCTGGTCTCTCCACAGATGTTATATAGGCCTTCAATCTGTGCTTTGGCTAGGCGACTCAAGGACAGTCAAAGGATTGTCCTGAAGCCACCGAGCAATGTCTTGACTGTATGAGGTGTTGTCCTGAAAGTAAATCATCCCATCAGTTTCTGGTCGCTACCCTCTTTAGGAAGTTGTCAGATAATGAGCAATGCCTGGTGTTTACCTGACAGTGCTTGGAGTCTGAATAGTTCGATTTTTGATTCGTCAAATCAAAGAATCTTTTCTTCATGTTCTCAGAATACGTTAGAAGCCTTTTTGCACACTCCATATAGCTCCATACAGCAATATAGAGTTGCTTGACGGCCAGGGTTTTAAACTTGTCTATTTTACACTTAATGGGGTAACTTTACTAGTCAAGTCTTATCAATGGTTTTCTGCCTTTGCCCTGTCTAGGTCATTGGATGTATGGCTTAATTTTTTACCGTACATGCAGCGTGAATTCCAGGATCTTTTATACTCAGAGGTGCATGTTTTTCTTAAGTCCAGTCAAGGTCTAGACATATCTCAAGGATTGTCAAAGTACACAGAAGTGCCACAACAAATGGAATAAATAATTTTGTTCATGAGATATTCTCATTGTTATTTTTAGTTTGCAAAAATTGCTAAACATGTTCTCACTTTGTCATAAGGAAAAAATGGCAGTTTGTTTCACTGATAATTCAATTTAAAAAACTGCAAAAAGTGAAGGCATCTGAATACTTTCTGAGGTGACTGTAGTTTTCCTTTTTTATATGTTGAATGTATGAGCAACTCTCCTATCTTCTTCCAGAAAATCATGACCTACCTGTTTGACTTTCCCCATGGGCCAAAGGTAACAGTGATGATTTCATGTGTAAAATGTCAAGCAGATGTGAACCGAACTACCTCACTGAGAAATTTCTGTAACAGATAGTATATGATCATTGTGTGTTCAAGAATGAAATAGAAACAATGGATGACAGATGAAGAAGATAGTGTCAGTGGACATAGCATTGAAATCCTGACGTGTGTGTGTTTTTTGCAGCCCAGCATGCCCCACCGACCCTGGCAGTCCTACTTTGACCTGATCCTGGTGGACGCCCGTAAGCCTGTGTTTTTTGGAGAGGGAACAGTGCTGCGGCAAGTCGACACTGTGAGGGAAATCTGCATTCACAACATGCCATATTCTGATGACATTCATGTACAGCTATTTAAAAATGTTGACTTGGTCAAACTCCTTTTTGCTGTTTAACATAAATATATAGTAGATGAGCATGTGACGCAACCTTGGTTTCTTTCAGACCACAGGTCGGCTGAAGATTGGTACATACACTGGACCTCTCCAACATGGCATTGTCTACTCAGGAGGTGAATAAGAAACATTCTCCAGCTCATATGGTGGTATTCAGGCAAATGTTAGAAAACACCTGAATCTTAGTGACATTTTCTGAAATAAGTGTTTGTTTACATCAGGAATGTAGAGCAGGATTG